ATCTTATTTTTATTAATTTTGTTATACTGTCCTATGCCAACAAGTCATGTGCCGTGCGTTTGTTGAAATATCGCGCTTACTTCGTCCTTATATTTCTTGATATTGCCATTAAAGATAATTATATAATTTAGTGGATAATTCAAGTGAGGTGAGTCTAGTCACTGTTTTCATTATCTTAACGTATATCATATGCGCTGAACTTTCCTTATCTAACTTAATATATTTCACGTGACCGCTTGTTCGCCCGTTTAATGATGGACAGCCTTAATGACTAATTGACTGTCCACATAAATGCTTACCTTAACTATTCTTTCTTGATATTTAGTTGTATTTATTTTTATCTATACATAATTCAGTATTTGACTTATCAAATTTTGTTACAGGATGCCGCTTCGTGGCAACACGAGTAGTGGTTCTCTCCGGGCATGGCGACGCCACTTTCCCTTGACCTCTATAGAAAACGTCATGTGCCTGTTTTCTGATATGCTCGGGGCATTCGGCCCAAGGGATATATCTCTTTTACGTTCCCGACCTAATTTCAATGATTTTGAAGCTTCTTCTGATCCCAACTTGGCGTTCATTTCTATCATTCTGGGATATATCGAACATCGCCTTACTGTCGGGAATAATGATGGATTATCTACTATTTACAAACCTCGACACCATTATGCATCATCAAAAGCCTCAGAAGGATCAATCAACACCTCAACTAAGGAAAAACGAAGTATACAATCTAAGTTGCTGAGAAGCTCTCGGGAGTCTTCGATCAGCAGCACTAGCTCACTAAACCAATTAGATGAATTTTCTAACTTTGCTCCTGATTTTACTCCTACTGAAAATGATGATCAATTGCATTCTCATGCTTCATTTACTGACATCTATGATAGATTATCTATTTCATCTCCCTCTCATTCTCCATTTACATCCCTTAAATCTGACTCACAATTATCTTCTCAGTCTAAGATATCCAAATTTCACATAACCACTCGATCATCACGTAAGCAACGTAGAAGGCACTGCTCTTCTATTTCGGCTCCTGATTCCCATCCAACCGATACCACGGGCACCATTAGTTCACAGAGGTCTCACAATGTTCCTTTAAATTTGGCCTCACCTTTGACTGTTAATGTGCACGCTAACGAACCGTTTACCGCTCAATTTTCTAAGCGAAAGAATATTTCATCCATCACTCCTACGGCTTCCAGTCTCAATTATCTTTCCCCCTCAAATGTTTATCCGGTCACTGACGCTCCTGCCTCCGAAATATTTCCATCACTTAGTTACGAAGAAGTAGAAAGACTGTATCAAGAGTTTTATCACTTCATTATTGCTCACCCAAAGGTACTGTTTCCATTTTTGTCCTTTAATTTCTGGCTTAAATTTCAATTAAAGTAAAAATGAACAATTCATTTATTATTATTTTCTAGCTGGCTCCCTTTATTTCTCCATCGACCGCTATTAATTCTGCCTCAAATAATTCATTGGATTTATCTGGGAAAAATTCAAGTGAAGGGAAACACCGCTTTAAAGCCTCTAGACTTCTTATTCGAACGATATGCGAAGTTATTTGGAGTCGATTGGTCGCTAGTCGAGGGAGCAAGGAGCGTATCACTCATACCCAATCTATATTTTCTTTTATTTCCGGTACGTGGCCTATCTTGAGATTGCCAAGACTATCATTCAATAATAACACTCATCACCTATTTTCCCTTTATCATACTTTTGCCTTATTTTTTATATTATGTAAATAGTAATGCTGGAGCGTTTGCCTGCAAAAATTAAGGGATCCTATCGTATTCATACCTTATAACAAACTATGTTCCTATGCTTTCCTATTTATATATAACTATGATATATTTTCTTAATTTTTCAGTTGCCTAACAAACTTTTAAATTATGTTTAAGAAAAGTATTCCATTTGCTTTCTAGTTTGTTTAGCTTAATCTACAATACCATTGTAATGTTTCTTGATTTTTATTCTCTTTTTTTATACTGTTAACAATTTAGAGAATATATTCTCCTACTACATTGCCTATTTGTAATGTTCTATAC